CACCAGCCTGTAAGATGACAAGGTGGCGAAGGGGTCAGGTATGAGGCATCAAAGACACAAAAAAATCATTACATTGTGAATCAGTGGGAGTGCAGAGTGGGGACCCAGGGCCCATCGGGGGAAATTGGACATCCTTTGCAGAAGGGCAGTGGGGAGGAGAGGAGCAAATCTGAGTGCAGTGTAGCAACTATGAAATATGCAATTTTCCTCTAGTTCTTAAATGCTTCCTCCCCCCCACTACCATGATCCCAATTCTACCTTACATATCCAGCTGGCCCGGAGGATGTATACTGCCACAGATAGGAACTGGAAATACAGTGAACCCAGGACAGATGAACCCCCCCAGGACCAGTGGGGAGAGTGGCGATGGCGGGAGGGTGGAGGGAAGGTAAGGGAAGAAGGGGAACAGAGGACAAGGTCTACATGTGGCCTCCTCCCTGGGGGACGGACAGTGGAGAAGTGGGTGAGGGAGACGTTGGGTGGCATAAGATATAATAAAATAATAATAATTTATGAATTATCAAGGGGGGGGAGCGGGGAGGGAGAGGGTAAAATGAGGAGCTGACACCAAGGGCTCAAGTGGAAAGGAGGTGTTGTGAGAATGATGAAGTCAACATACGTACTAAAGTGCTGGACACGAATGATGTATGTACGGATTGTGATGAGTTGCATGAGCCCCTAATAAAATGATTATTTTTTTAAAAAAGAAGAAGAACTAGAGGAAGGTTGTGAATTTCATTATTGCTACACTGAACCCTGAGTGATTCATCTCCTCCCCACTACCCCTCTGCAAGGGATGTCCAGTTGTCTACAGATGGGCATTGGGTCCCCATCACACGCTACCCTCATTCACGATGATATGATTTCCCCCCCACCTCCGAATTTGGTCTTTGAAACCTGGTCCCCTCAGCCCTTCATGAACACACATGTTGGTGTGCTGCTTCCATGTGGGCTTTGTTGCTCCTAGGCTAGATGGCCACTTGTTTACTTTCAAGCCTTTAAGTCCCCAGATGCTATAGGTCTCGATAGCCAAGCACCATCAGCCTTCTTCACCACACTTACTTATGCTTACTTCAACACATCTTATTGAAGATCTTCATTGTTTTCGCTGTCCAGCTACTTTACCAGTCATGATGTACTTCTCCATGGACTGGCATCTCCTGACAACATATCCAAAGTATGTGGGACAAAGTCTCACCATTTTTACTTCTAAGGAGCTTTCTTGCTGTACTTTATCCAAGGCATATTTGTTTGTTCTTTCAGCAGCCCGTGGTACTTTCAATATTCTTTGCCAGCATCATAATTGAAATGCACTAATTCTTCTCTGGCCTTGCTTATTCACTGCATATGAAGCAATTGAAAATACCATGGCTTGAGCCAGGCACCCCTTAGCCCGAGTCACATCCTTTCATTCCAACGTTTAAAGAGATCTTATGCAGCAGATTTACTCAATGGTGGGGTCTCCAGGTGAATTGAACCTCCAACCTTCTGACTAGCAGCCAAATACTCAACCATGTATGCCACCCATCCAAATCCACTGTCCTCAAATTGACCCCTATGGAGCAGAGCAGACTCCCTCGTAGCATTTCCAAAATGAAATATTTATGGCACCATTGTTCCTTAAGTGGACATTAGAAAATCAGTTTTCCAGAAATAGTGAAAGATTGAAATCACCAACACAGGAAGCCCAACAAAACCAAAAGAAGGCTAAATAAAAATAAATCTATGTGATATTAACATTAGAAATTCATGAAAAGAAGTCATAAAGGATATGTGTTCTAGTTATATAATCTGTTGTCAATTTGAGCGGATTATGAGTGAAGGGGTGGAGTGTAGCTTGTCGATCATTATGTAGACAATGAGGCCTCTGTGTGGGCATGGCTTTCCCCTAAGGATTCTGGGAATTCTGGTATTTCCTTATTGGAGGCAGGAGACACACTCTCTCGAACTCGCTCCCTGACAGATGGTTTACTGACATGACACATGGCATTACACTGATATAGCCAGTGCTTTCAGAGCTGGAGAAGCCATGTGGAGACCCCGCCAGCACTGAGATGCCTCTACCCACACTAGATCCAAAATACTTCCCACCCACTGGCCTGTGATCTTTCTGCATTCAGAGTGATTGCATGAGCTTTGAGTCTGAAGAGGACTTTACTTTAGTATTGGACATATAGGCTTGTATCCAACTTATGGACTTGATCTGGATGGGGCTCGGATGTTTTCTCACTAGTCAATTGCTCTTGTATATGAAGCTCTTTCTTATACAAGTGTCCATGAATTTGTTCCTCTAGTCTACCCAGACTAATACAATATGATAGCACACGGCTTAACAAAAGTAATGGAGGAGTAAAGACAGTGAAGTAAAATCTTCAAAGCTTCAAGAAAAGACAACACTGAATTTGGTTTTGTTTATCCAGGAAAACTGTTGCTCAAAAAATGAAAGCAAAACTTGACAAACATATTATGATGGTTCCACAACACAATCAACCTAATTGGTGTCACCAAGTGGTGGAAATGTTAAGCTGTCAATTATGTGTGATTTGTATTTTTACAATTAAAAAATTAGGGTAAAATAAGGACATTATATATACACAAAAACAGGTTATCAACCACTAAGAGGACCACTCTGATGAAAATTCTGAATACTATGACTCAAGAAGATAAATAATAATAATAACATCTTTAAAAAGATGAAAATTATTGAGAAGGATGGTCTCAGATGCAATAATGAATAAAAAACAAAGAAAATGAGCACTTTATTTGTAATATAACAGGAATACATCATAAGCATACATCAAAGATGTTAGGATATATTTGTGGGGGACCAGCCTTCACAACCAAATGGGTCCTAACAAGCACAAAGAAATATGTAGTGATGGTCTGAATTTGATTAGTATACAATCAATAAAATGTGTGGAAACTGAGAACCGGGAAGAGAGTACATGCAGACAAATCCTCTACGCTCATATTTTAAGGAGTCTGGGAGGCTGAGAATCCCAGTTGTGAGTTGGAGATGCATCCCAATCTCATTCTTCTAAGTAAAAGCTAGTCCCCACAATGCCCCCACCCACCCTTGCAATAATGCCAATTTTAAGGTGCTGCTTGCAATCACATGGTTGCTACTATCATCTTAAAGGGCAACTGCCTGAATGCTGTCTGCCTGAAGATTATCTGCCATCAAAAGCAATCTGACCATTCAACCCAAGTATGGTCCACTCCTTTCTGATGAGGATCATAGATTCTTCCCCAGAAGAGCTCAGGGACACCTAAGGTCAAGCCAGCTCAGAGAAGAGCAAGGTTAAACTGCCATCGTTACTTTAGAATCTGCCTGTCTTGTTATGTATGTGCCTTCCTGTCAGAGGTATGCCCCAGGACCTCCTTAGTATGTCTCCTTCCTGTTGCATGTATACCCCTAGCTCATCCCCTTCCTGTTACATATGTGTATGACATGGTTTGCATGCCCAAGATTATACACGCTTGTGAGAGAATGCATTCGCCCCTTCTCTGGCTCTGGTCTTCGTGGAAGAAGTGAGTCCTTGTCGGTATTTCTTTCATTTACCCTTCAATCACACCGCTTCCTCTTAGGACCCATTTGGTTGTGAAGGCTGGTCCCCCACAAAGATATCCTAACATCTTTGATATTTGGGAGGGAATCAAGATTTTAATTTAAAACTTGGTTAAGTCATATATAAGTTGTAAAATTTCAAGAGCAGCTAACATAGAATGTAAGTTTCAAAAAAGTAGAGACTTTTTTTAAAAAAATAAACAATTGCACAATTCAACAATCCTCAAACGTATGAGAAAACAGAGAAAGGGAGATAAAAAAGAATTTTTAATGAAGAAATCTAAATATAATCAGAGGTAATGCAGTAAGTCTCTTTTACTCAGTTCTTGCTTGTCCCCGTAGCCAGGGTAATAACCTGGATTAAACTCCTGAAATATGCATGTAGTTGTTGATTAGTGATGTCATGGTATATGTCTAACTATCAACCAACAGCCACTGAGGCGATTCTGACTCATGGTGACACTACAGAATAGCGTATAACTGCTAGGTAGCAGTTATACTTTTGTGTAAATCTTTATGTGAGTAGAGAGCTTCGTCTTTCTCCAGAGGAGCAGAAAGAAGGTTTGAACTGTTGAGGTTAGCAGTCTAATGCATAACCCACTAGATCTCCAAAAGTCCCTTACATGCCCAAAGCAGGTTAAAACTAACCGACCTGTCACCAGGGTTAAAGTAAACATAAAGGTGGATCGTGTACATTGGTACCTGGTTTGAGACATAGCAGGTAACATAGCAGCTATATGATTGCCCAGCTGCCTTTAAGAACTTCCGACTTAATCCTCAAGTGAGCTTCCATCATTAGAGGCATCTCCTATGTGTGTCTGCAGCTGGCAGCGGAAGAGAGAGGAGGGTTTGTGGCACTAAGATAGAAAGAAGGAAGATTGAAAGCCTTTGACATTTCTCTAGCCTTCACCGCTGGGTATCTGTTTCCTGCTATTGCTCACTGTATCCTGGTTGTGATAAATCTTAAACATAAGTGCAACTTTATGTTAAGTGATGTGAGCTCTTCCAGTGAGCCATCAAACTAATGAGTGCTCATAAAATCCCCAAGACACGTCAATAATTAATGGCTTATAAGAGTTGTAAGAGCCTCCAATAAAATGATTTTTTTAAAGAGAAATAGCTATATATGAACTAAAAATCATGAACTAAAGGATAAAAACTCTCATACAATGATGAAATATTAGATATTGTTTACAAGAGCTACCTGTTAAAATGTCATGATGGAGGTGTCCGATCTCAAGTTCAAGAGGGGGAGAGAGCATCAGGATCAGCATCAGCCGAAGGCCGATTCCTATGAAGTGGAAGTTAAATATACTTCTTCGCTCCCACCTCTTATTCAGTTCTGACACTAGCTGTCCCTCCCATGACAATCTCCACTTCGCTGCTGAATTTCAGGGTTCATTAGAAATAGCAACACAGAACTCAGAAAACATTCACAATGATGCAGTTTATTAGGAAAATATCAAGCTACAATTAAGATCAAGAACAACTCAGATGCAATTCTCAAGTTAGGAAAGCTTCTCATCCATGACCACAGGCTTTGCCCTAGCCCTTGCCTTCGCAGCCCTCCACACCTTGTGGCTCTTAGGCCTCTGGGGTCAGTCCAGCCTTTGTTGTAAGTATTACAAATCTCTTTAGCTTTGCCGACACATGGCCTGGAGGGTTCCTACTCTGCCAGCAAGCATAGCCCTGAAATTGCTCCGCTTTCTCACTCTATAGGCTGAAACGTCCACTGCACCATCTCCAGGTAGTTTTCTGGTTCTGCCAGTGCTTTCCTGTGCTTGCCCCACTTCTCACCATCTTGCATTTTCTCAAGTATTATACCTCTCTCTGTCTCCTAAGTCCAGTAGGTTTTACATCTCTTCTGGGTGCTAGTAGGGTCCCAGCTTTTGACATGGCACATTTTAGGCCTAGTGCATTGGCAAAACTAATCAATCCCATGGTTAGGGTTCCATACACTTTATTTACGTGGTCCTCCTCCTACAAAGGTGCTGTGACCCTTATTTGCATTATTAGTAAGCTATCCAATCTTCATGAATATCAAACATCTAATTTGCATAGTCCCACGCAGTCATTTCATGAGAGTTACAAGATCATAGCAAGAAAGGCCTATAAAAGCAATCCATCACACTGCACTTACATCAGTCTTTTTCTGCTTGTCCCTCATAGGGACGTGAGTTGATGCTCCGTTACCGCAGAATTTCTTTGGCTTACAAATTTTGATTTTTAAATGTTAAAAGAATGTGACCAGACCTGCCTTCTAATTTGTTTTCTAATTCTCCAAGGCATCTCTCTTTCACCCTCAGCTCCTAAGCAGACCGGAGATGAAGTCTCGGGAACTAGAGGTCCTGAGTTCCAGAGAGGCAGATGCAGCAATCACGGTCACAGGATGTCTTCATTGAAGCTGGGAGAGAAGAGAACGATCCGTGAGGAAAAGAGGGGTAGGGAGTATAGGAAAGAAAAAATGGGAAGAGGTATTGGGAGAGGAGGAGGAAAGAGGATACTCACCGACGCCTCTTACGCCACGTCATGAAGCCTACAATGAGCACCAGGAGGAACACCACTACTGCCGAGATGATCCAGCCCACAGAGACACGGTGCTCAGCCTCTTTGGAGAAAACACAATGTCTGTCACCATAAAGCCCTTCCCTATTTCCAGATCACTGGTGTGAGCACTTGTGAGGGTACCAGATGCTTCTTAGTCCCGCCCCCATGTCAAGTGCCTGCTTGCTATTCCTCCTAAACTGGATTTCCCCACACCTTCTCCCAGGGTTCAGACACACTAATTCAGTTCGCTTCAGTCTGTAAATGGAAATCCCAGTAGCTTTGTAGGGGCAGACCTGAGTCAAAACCTTCCACTTACTAACTCTGGGTAGTTTCCCTAGCCTAGTCTAGCCAAGCTTCTATTGCCTCATCTGTGAGAGAGCACTAAGAGTTCCTGCCTCAAAAGAGAGATGTGATGATCAAATGAAATAATACATGGAGATAACATAGTTCGTATCATTTGTGTTTTATGCATACATCTTAGTGTGGTGAGTAGCTGTGGGCAGTCGTGAAAGTTTTCTAGAGGCCATCAAAGATACATCTACTGGACACTATGTGTCTGGAGAACTAGAGAAAGAAGGAAATCAAGGGCGCCCAGAGGAAAGTAGTCCATAAGACGGATAGTCTACATAAACTACAGCCTCATCTACCCTAAATCCAGAATCACTGAATGGTGCGCAACTACCATTATTGGCCATTCTGACCAGGAATACTGCCTGGAACTTCTGAAGAGCCCTAGATAGAAGAAGAGATAAATGTAGAACAACACCCAGATTCCTTGAAAAGTCCAGATTTATAGGACCGTTGAAAGCCACGCCTTTTAAAATAATTTGTGTTTTGCACTACATGTATCTTTCCTTCTGAGACTATTGCTTAAACTTTGAACTGAACCCATGCCAGCAGTAAACATTCAGTTAACTAAAGATTGGCTTATGAAATAAGAACTATCACCTGTGAGTACAATACTCTTCTTTAAAAATCATCTACGGGAGACCAAACAGTAAACAGTTACCCTAAAGCAAAAATGAGAAGGTAAAGCAGGTAGGTGGAGGACTGAGAGGCGAAACTTGTAGTATTAAATTAAAATGGCAAGGACGTGAAGGGGTGGGGAACCAGCCCCCACCACTAATTGCGGGCTCAGTAATACTACTTCCGGGTTCAGTCATGCATAAGTGTATGGTTGAGATATGTAAGTATTATATTAAAGTTATTGAGAGCATAAGAGATAAAAGAAATATTATAATAATGCAGTCAGGCACGTTACATGGTAGCATTGCTCACCTCAGCCCAGCTTGGTGGTCCACGTGGAGAGAGGGGGAAGGGAAGGAGGGCATAGGAACAAGGGAGAGGGAGAAGAGAGAGGGGTCAGAGAGATCAGAGAGGTCCGAGAGCTCTATATTGCTGACTCACGCCTATATACCTTTTGGGGGCATGCCAGCCCACTAATTACAGGTAGAGACATA